CTCTCTCTCTCTCTCTCTCTCTCTCTCTCTCTCTCTCTCTCTCTCTCTCTCTCTCTCTCTCTCTCTCGCTCTCTCTCTCTCTCTGTGTGTGTGTGCTCACTCCTCTCATGCTCCTCTCCTTTTGAGTTGACCCTCGCTTCTCGCAGCCTCGCCAGCCTAGTCCTTCCGTTCTCCACAGGTTCAGCGGACGGGTGGTCCCGCCGCCACTGGTCCAGCCCATGCCAAGACTGGGTCTCGGCCTCCAAGTCACTTGCATCGCTCTCTGCTTCTGTGTCGCGGTCCAGGTGCTGCTGTTCCCTCTCTGCGGTATCTGTGGACGCCTCCCCTTCTATGTATGAAACGGTCACTTTTATTTCGTCCGTGACCCCAATCTCCTGCACCTCCTCTCAGCCCGGTCCTTGGCCTCCGTGATGGCCGCTTGCAGTCCCTGGTCCGCTCTCATTTCTTCCTCTTTTCCCCCTTCTACATTTACCTTCAGCCTTGCCTCCTGATTACAATGGCTGTAATCCAAGATGGTCGTCACCACAGGCCGTCTCCAGACATCCGCTCCAACCTCCAGAGGAACTGGAGGTACCTTGGCCTGAAGCCAGACAGCCCACTGCTGCGCACCATGGTCGAGAACGGACAGTATACACCACCAGTCCACCGACCCCGAAATAGCCCGGACTTAACGCTCGGCACATGCACACGCAGAGAGGCTGCCGCACGCTCACCACGCAGCTCATCCCTCTTCCCTTAGTTCGCCAACACTTGGCGTAGCGAGGCGCCCAAGTAGCCAAAGAAGGCCAGTTCCCCTTTTCCTTTTTAGGGCCGTCACATACCGCGAACCCAGTGTTCCTAACGAGGGACTCAAACAGATCTCAAAATTTAATTCAGAAAACAACAAATTAAAATAAGTTAAAACAGAATAAAGTAAAATGGAATGAATGGAACGAGAGGCCGATCCTCAACGGTCGTAGCGCCAGCAGGGCTTTTCCTCTGTCAACCGCTAGAAGCTTCATGCCCTGACGCGAAGCGACTACAGATTAGACTCGGCGGTCCCATAACGGGATACCGATGGGCGTCCTTTTCCCTTCTAAACATGCCGCCGGCATACCCCTGACGGATACCTGCCTCCGATGGCAAGCAGGAGGCTTATGACCCTCCGTGGAAGGTGATAAGCCTCCTATCAATGCGGGCGCGGGTTGCCCCTTTTTTGGGGTCCTGCGCCAGGAACGGAGTAAACGCGAAGGGCCAGGCCATTCTAGGCGACCAGTCCTTAGTCACGGTTCGAAAATGAACCGTTTGTTTCACCGCGAAGTGACAGAAAGGAAAATTAAATAAAGAAATAGGTAATAGTAATAGTAATAATAGCAGAGAGGGGAAGACGACTCTTCAAAATTCTCTTGCGCCGCTACATCACTAAAGCCAACAGGCCCCAAGACACAAAGGCATGGATCCAGGTCTAGCCACGGATCTGAGGCTCCGTGTTCTCCCCTTCCCCTGTTTATTTTCTTCTGCTTTTCTCTGTATTTCTCTTTTACTGACAGCAACCGTTGTCACTACACCTACCTCATAACCCAGCCACAGGGGCCCGATGCATAGTTCAAAGTGACTGCTCCAGACTTTCACTATCCCATCCCTGAGCGGGCCCGACGGCTGTCATGGCCACAAGCTGTCTGTGCTCAGCTGCACAGCTGGGCACCGAGCCTGCGTGGACCGACGGTAAACCCAGTGGCGTTACCAGTGACGCCGAACGGACCAGTCCCGCAGCGAAGTATGACCCAAAGGATCTGGTACACCACCGTAGTTCCGCAAGTTTGTCCGGTACACAGCGGAGGGCCGGGACACCGCGCCCTCCGACAGCAGCAGTTGCCGCTGGACATTTGAATTGTATATTATTACAACTTTGAATGGAAACACATCTGGCGCTGATTTGAAACGGTATTCACCAGTTTGCAGTAGCTGATGCAGATCCCAGGGCTCGATCCCTAGCCCCCAACTTACCTGTGTACAGTATCTGTGTCGACCCCTAGAGTTGAACCTGCGACCTGTGTATTTGCAACGGTTGGTAGGTTGTCGTAGGGTCCATAGGTAGCAGGGGTTCGATCCATAGACCTGTCGAGTAGGAGTCCCAGTCAGGTCTAGAATTCGTAGCTGTAGCCTTCTCGAAGAGTCAATGTCGTAGCTGCTACAGTCCAGAAGGGTCAAGGTCGTAGCTGCGACAGTACCGAAAGGCCAAGTCTACGGCCTTCCGGAAGGTCCGAGTAGTGGCCTTTCGGAGTTTCCCACTGTTAGGCTGAGGCAAGTGGGCAAGTGGTGAGGCAAGTGGTGGAGTCTACCCGTGCTGAGTCAGCAGTCCCAGTCCTAGGCAGTCCTGGTCCAGTCAAGCAAGTACCGCATGGGACTGTGTGCACTTCGGGCATGGGAAATGGCCAGACCAACGAGCTGCAGAAGTATAAATCAAGAGGCAGCGCCCAGTCATTCCTTTCATTCCTGCGTGAGCCATGCGGAAGTGCTGCCACAAGCGACTTGTGCAAGGAGGTCTGCAGTGAGCCCGAGGGAGAAGTGGGTGAGAGAGACGGAGTGAGCCATAGCGATAGGTAGTGGCGGCCATAGCCGCCATAGCTGTAGGTGGAGTACAGAGTGAGTGTGTGTTTGTGTTCAGAGTATCGCGTGTGGGATATCCAGGGTGATCTTGTGTATGCGAACAGTGAGTTATGTGGGCGCTGAGTCGCCATAGCCATCGAAGTGAGCTTGAATCCGAACTGTGTCTTTCGTTACCATATCTCTGAGTTCTGAGTGGGCGATTGTCGCCAAGTGTGCTGCGCACCTGTTTGCATGCATGAGAGTGTGAATGAAAGCGAGTCTGATTGCAGATTCATTGTCTTCTCTCCGGTGTGGTGTGAATTTTTGTGTGAATACTCCCACCTTGCAATGTGCGAATTCTTTTGAAATTGCAAGGTCCATTCCAAGTTAATTTCAATGTCAAATTAAGGGGCAATCAATGCTGCGGGGATTGCCCTGGCTGTATCTCTAGTTTGGAAGCTTCTCTTGCAGGTAGAAGAGTAACTTCACCGAAGCTCCCTGGAATGGGAAGGAGCTAACGAAAGGTTGTTAAAATGTTGTGACTGTTCTGTGGTTTGGACTTGTTCCCTATGCAGGAACATAAGGCAGCAGCTCTGGATTTTGTCAATAACGTTAGCAGAGAATGCAGGCAGGGAGTTGCTCTTGCATGGCCTCTTAGAATTTGTTTCATCTTTGTTTGGTTATGTTTTGAAATCTGTTTCTGGAGATATTGCTGTGAGAGCAAGAATAGAATGGAATCTGTGATCCACAGTAGCAGCGGGAAAAGACTGATGCTGCATCTTAGATTGTGAAATAAGGGAACGAGGCATCGTTCATTGGAATTTCAATGTTGTCACTCAGTTCTTTCAGATTTTCTTTAATCAGTAGCGATCTGCTTCTCTGTTCCAGGTAGGTATCATTAGTGATCTGCTTCTCTATTCCAGGTAGGCTAGGTAAGTTCATGCGTTGGATGGCATGGTAGATGTGTTGACGTGTGTGTGTGTGTGTGTGTGTGTGTGTGTGTGTGTGTGTGTGTGTGTGTGTGTGAATGTTTGATGTGTGTAGTTTGTGTGCGTGTGCACGCACATGCGTGTGTTTGCGTCTGCAGGTGTGTGTGGGTGTGTGTGTGTGTGTGTGTGTGTGTGTAAGTGCGTGCAGGGGGGGAAGGGGGCTGCAGCTCTTTATGGGGGCCATTGAGCTGGGAGTCCCTGGAACGTAAGGTGGAGAAGACTAGACTGTTTCAAATTCTCTCAATAAAAAGATCAGAGGTGTCAGCAACAGTATGGTACATTGTTGCAGATAAGGTACTTGGACCTACTTGTTAAATTCCAGCGAGTTGCCTTGTGAGAATCACTTAGTTTCTTTGTGGGGTTCTTCTCCCACCATTAACTACTCGGGCCAGCCATTGGTCACCCCAGGGTTGGGTCATTCCCTGGCATCAGGCATGGTTGTTGACGGCATGCTAAGCGTCAGGGTAGATGTTCTGTCATTGTTTTCCTGAATGCCGGGAACTTGGGATACTTCGCCCCATTCATTGTGCAGTTCAGCTTAGCTGCACACTGGTTGTGCGGCGCTTAATGCTCACAAACCAGAGTTAGGGTAGTTTGAAAACAAGGGTTAGTAAGTAGAATATACACAGCCGCGGAGATTGGACGTTAAGATAAAACAGGAAACAGCAGATTTAGACAGGGACTTTGCTTTATTTCATTCCGAGTATATTTTTCGGAGATCTGGTCATCGACTACTTGGGCCAGCCATTGGTCACCCCAGGGTTGGGTCATTCCCTGGCATGAGGCATGGTTGTTGACGGCATGTTAAGCGTCAGGGTATATGTTCTGTCATTGTTTTCCTGAATGTCGGGAACTTGGGATACTTAGCCCCATCCATTTTGCAATTCAGCTTTGGTTGTGCGAACAAACCAGAGTTAGGGTAGTTTGAAAACAGGGGTTGTTAGTAAGGAGAATATACACGGTCTAGGAGATTGGAGGTTAAGATAAAACAGGAAAAAGCGCTTTATTTCATTCCGAGTACATTGTTCTGAGATTTCGATTTTGATGCGTTGCAGTTGTGCCTGTTTTTTGTGAGCGAATAGGGAGTTTTCTAGCACTGGAGGATGTAAAGGAGATGGCCAAATTAGATGGCAATCACCTTCAGGTTGAGCAGCTGGGGAAATATCAGAAGCGTGAACTTTCTCTGATACACTGGACAGTTGGTTTGCAGTTTTGCCCGCTTTGACTCAGTTCTTTCCATTCAGAGCTTGCCTCCCTCCCTCCCTCCCCCCCCTCCTCTCTCTCCCTCTGCACTTGATGCTGAACCGCACAAATGTGGCCAACCTTGCATTTCTTACTATCTTGCCTATCACTACTTTTTTTGTTTTATGGATGGTTTATGATGATTTGTGGAGGTTATGAGAAAGAATCTGGGGTTCCTTCGACACACACACACACAAGAGATGCTCTTTCTCTGAGGATGAATGTGTTCTGTTGGTTTGGTTTGTATACATGGCTGCAGCATGGGCTGTGTTGTTGATGGACTAATGTCTGTGGGTGAACACAAGTTTTTTTTAAGGTGGGAGTTTGGGGTTTTGGCCACAATATCGAGG